GTCATGTACGGCTTTAAAGGTGATAACCAACACCTTGAATTGGACCTGGAAGCAAACTGGCACCCAATGCAGCTCCCACAGTAAAAGTGTGCCATCCTTGGGACACCTAATATTATTCATGCAGCCACATTTTGAACCAGCTGTAGCTTCTGGATACTCTTCAAGGGTAGCCCCATGCAGAGCGCATTGCAATAGCCTAACCGAGAGATGACCAGCGTGTGAGTTAGCATACATAACTCTGGTGTTCTAATCTGGTCTACCTTGAAGGGCTGACAATAGGTTGGAATTCATGCTAGATTTGATTTGATTTCGGTTTTCTGTGATGTGCTAAATCTCTTTTTTATCTCTCTATACAAGATAAGGAACTGTTTTATATTAACTGACAATTACATTTCAGGCTGTGTTAAGCCCTTTGCAGCTGCTTGCAATCGAAACAACATTCTCATAGAATCTTCTTTAACCAGATATACAGTATTGAAAGGGAATAGGTTATAGAAAATCTGGCGGCTTTGTATATTTACCTTAGCACTCAATTTATTTTTAAATTCATTAGGGTGGAGATTTCTTGATCCTCCTGATGACCACCCATTAATGAATTAGGGAGATGACTATCAGTTTTCCTGATAAAGGAAGAATGTTCAGACATGGTCTACTAATGTGATTTTGGAAATCTGTATCCCCTTTCTCAGGCTCTGAGAAGCCAATTATACTATGTTCAGGAAGATACAGTACATTTTTTATCTTTAAAATGCTTTTGGGATATTTAATATTCAACTACCAGAGATTTGTGGCAGAATTCTCTTTCTTTCTAATAGGCCAGTGCTATCTTGTGGTCTCTTTGAAATAATGTATTTTCTTTTGGATTTTTCATTTTTAGGTAATTTGAAAACTGTGTATTAACCTGATCTGGGCATCTGTAATTATTTTCTTTTGAATAATATTTCTGCATTTTAGTACTTAAAAAGTTGTTAAAGTCCTTTACATTTAATCTTTTTTTAAAAAAAATATTGATCTTGGTAGTCCCAGGAGACTAAAAGATGTCTGGATACCCTAATTATCAGAGAGCCATGCTGTATGGCCAGGAGGTAGCACTTCAGAAATTATTTCACCTTTTCTGTCTTGATGTTTTCACTGTCAAAAAAGTAACATAGTTGTGAGAACCCTTCTTTCACACAAGAGTTAGGGAGTGGATCAAGAGTGATGCACACCCTTGAAGACAGGTGGTAACAGCAGAAACTACCCAAACTATTATCCTAGAGGAGAAGCTGGGACCAAGGCATGAATACCCAGAGGATTTCTGTGAGAGGAGGTGTGATACCCTGGGACCTACACCCTATGTATTAGCTCTTTGATGTAGTCCAGACAAGAAGTTTAACGATGAGTATTAACTCTATTGTAAAGTTACATTAACAGTATCTTGAAACTGTGAAAGTATTTCTCTCCTCCTGTCCTTTTACTCTCTGGAAAACCAGGGAGGGTCCCTTCTGAAATGCTTCCCATGCCCCCCCCCTTCTGTGGATTGAGATATCTTTACATGATGGAGGTCCATTCTGTGGCTCTTCCTCCTGTCTCCCAAGTTCATTCCCGTATACCGTGACCCTAAGGCCTCAAATCACTATAGCTGCAACTGCAAATGCAGAGGAAGTAGAAACTGAAGAGTTCTGTGGTGATTTAGAACACCTTGGAAAGGATTAAATTATATTCTAATACAAAAATGGTAGAGCAAAGCATTTTTTAAGTGAATGATTGCACTTATCTCACTTGTTAGTAGAATAATCCTCAAGATTCTGCAATCCAGAGTTCAATAATGTGTGGAATGATAAGTGCCAGAAATATAAGATGGATTCAGAAGAGGAAGGGACACCCAGGATCACAATCCTAACATCTGATGGATAATGGGAAGGGCAAGGGAATTCCAAGAAAGATGTTTACTTTTGCTGTATTGATAATGCAAAAATAGATGACAACAAAATGTGAATAGCCCTTAAAAACTCAAAATTTAGGAAAGGAATATGGCATGTTTCTATACTGTCACCTTATTTATTTAACTTATATGTGGAATGTATCATGAGAAAAGCTGTATTAATAGAAATTTTAAAAATTTGAATTAAAATTTCTGGGAGAAATATCAACACAGTCAGCTATTGTCAGGCCTAGCCCAGGGAACTCCAAGAGACAATGCAAATTCAGTTCAGCTATGTTTATTAGCTACAACCTCTAGCAAGACTCTTCCCATGTATTAATAGAAATTTTAAAAATTTGAATTAAAATTTCTGGGAGAAATATCAACACAGTCAGCTATTGTCAGGCCTAGCCCAGGGAACTCCAAGAGACAATGCAAATTCAGTTCAGCTATGTTTATTAGCTACAACCTCTAGCAAGACTCTTCCCAGACTGAAACCCCATCTCCCAAGTCAGCCATCCACAACATTGTGAATTCCTCAGGGAGGTGCCAGTCTCATCCTCTTGTAACTCCCACGCTCCTCCAGCAAGCTAAGGAAATGTTTGTCTCCCTGAGCCTGGCCTTCATAATTCCACTCCATCACAGCTATGCTGATGATACAGTTTTAATGACTGGAAGCATGGAAGTTTTAATTAATTTATTATTGAAAGTGAAAGAAAAGAGTGCAAAAGCCAATTGGTTGTATTTTTTTTTTAAGTCCACCCTAAATTCATGTCAACAGGCAATCCCAGCCCAATGCAAATAGGCACAGAAGTTAGAATAGTAACAGATTTAATCTTCCTATTTTCCTATAGCCATTAGATAAATAGATATCTGCTACTTGTGAGAAAGACTTATACAAATCTAGACAACATAGGAAAGCTCAGAGACAGCACATGGACAAGAAATATATGGATTGTCAAAGAAATGTATTTCTGCAATGGCCTATTGCAATGCATTCTGACCACTCAGAATCTACAGCTGGTCCAGAATGCAGTGGGACGCCCATGTGACACCATTGTGTCGTGACCTGCACTGGTTACCATTTGGCTTCCAGATGTAACTCAAGGTGCTGATTATCATCTGTAAAGCCCTTTATAGCATAGGGCCTGGCTGTTTGAGGGACCACCACTTTCAAATTGTTTCTGCCTGACTGGTAAGATTCGGCAAAGAGGATACACTTCAGGTCCCTTTGATGTAGTGTCATCTACCAGGACCCAGCAAGTGTGACTTCTCTGTTGCAGTCCTGCCTTCTGGAACAGCATTCCCCCAGAGATCAATACAGCTCCCACCCTGATGGTGTTCAGAAAGTCACTGAAAACGTGGCCCTTCTCCCAGGCCTTGGGGAGGAGTGGTGGTTAAGTCCCTGTAGGATGCTTTGTTGTTATACTGAGTTTGCCTTCTGGACCTTTATCCCAAAATCATTCAAAGTCAGATGGCCTCTAAATAGTATTAAATAAAATAAATTTCCCAGTTTTAATGTATGGCTGAGAATGCTGAATGAAGAAAAATGGATACCTTTGAACTGTGGTAGTAGAGAACAGTGTTGAAATTAACTTGGACCACAGGAATAATTCAAGTGTAGATGAAGTAATACCAGGCTGATTACTGGAACTACTAATAATAAAGCTAAAGTTTAAATGTTATGGATGCATTATGCAATGGCAAGAGTCATTGGAGCTTGGAAAAATCGAAGGCCATTGAAAAATACAAGGTAGACTAGATACTGTCACTGATAACCCTAGTATGAAACAGTTATTGACAGATAACCCTGTTGAAGTAATGTTCACTGGATCACAAAGAATCAGAAGAAACAATTGAACTTTGCAATTTATTTCACTGCAGTAACATTTTGAGAATTTACAACACCCATTTCAACCTGGATCACAGCAGTTTGAGTAAATTGTTCTGCAGAACAATCCAAATTCAAGAATGTAGTACACAATATTAACCTCACAGACAGGCTACCCATTTCCTTATAAGGGTCAGTTAGCTGTACACTAGATTAATTACCTGTTTAGTTTTCTGCTTCTTAAAAAGACTCAAATTTCAAATGAAAATTTATTATATTTCTTCACAATATTTGTTCACATAGTCATGATTTGAAAACTAAGACATTAAGAAAATTAATAAATTGTTCAAGGGAAAGGGGAAAATTACAAGTCTGTTAAGAAACCATCACTATTATTGTACCATAAAATAATACAACAGCATTCAAAGTTAAAGGTTTATAGCATAATTCTATACTTGTTTATATGGATCAAATGTTCAAAATACAATGTTCAAAACAATTTATGCTGTGATACATATATACTGAATTATTCATTAGGGAATATATCATAGATCAAAAGAAAAAATAGCTTTAGTATGTTATACAAGAATATGAAAGAATAACACATATGTACACATACAGTACATAAACACTTTTGAACTTTGGTGTTGGAGAAGACACCTGAGAATATTGTGGACAACCAAGCAAACAAGCCAGTGGATCATCCAAAAAATCAACGCAGAAGTGTCAATCAAGGTGCAAATGTCTAGGCTGAAATTATTCTACTTTGGACACACTATGCAGAGACCTAGCTCTCTGGAGAAGGCTCTAAAGATGGGAAAGGTGGGAGGAAAGAGAAGAAGTGGGAGGAAAGAGAAGAGGACAGCCAGCAGCAAGGTGGCTGGACTCAGTTATGGTGGCGATGGGTGCACTGTTGCAAGACCTAAAGGACCAGGTTAGGGACAGATTGTCATGGAGAAAAATCTATCTATGTAATTGCTAAGAGTTGAAAACATCTTGATGGCACATAATCAATCAATCATCATTATCATAATTATAATAATAAAAACCCAGGTACATACATGCCATTAGCTGCAACTACGAATCAAAAGTTCCTCTCAATTCTACTGATATTGTCCAACATTTTGGTATCCTTGCACTCTGCTCCATTTGTCACCTAGTAATAAATCCAGTTTTTGGGATGTAGTAATAGATTAAATTAAAACTCTCTTGAGTTCAAATCCTGATGACTAATGAACACATTTCTCTGGTTTTCTTGGAAAAAATTTGGAAGGGTTTGCCTTCGTCCTCTTCTAGCCAGAAGACTATTTGTGGCTATTGAACTCGGGCTACTGAATATCATAGTTCTTCCTAAGTAGTAAGTAAAAGTATATTATAAGTACTGCTTATGGGATGATAAAGTCTTTATTAATTCAGCCTAAGGAACCCAGCAGTTTAACCCAACAACCCAAATTCACAGCTGTAGTACAATATACTCACCTCACAAAGGCCTGACACAGAATGAGGTTTTTTTTTAAAACTCACAATGCTATAGAGTGGGGACAGCGCTATTTGGGTTTTCTCCCCCTTAAAATAAATCAAATGAAATGTCAGATTACCATTTGCTCCTCTTAGCTAAGCCTTGAAAACCAAAAAGGGCAAACAAAATAAAACAGAAATCCTGTACAGAAGGTGTCACCTGCATAAAATATGGGAGTTAGGAGACACCACCCCCTAACATAAGCCTGCACAATTACAAGACAATACTATACATGTTTACTCAAAAAAAAATCACACAATTGAGATTGTTTTCCAGGTAAGGCTCTAAAAGATTTTAGGATACGTTTTCTAGAGAATAGCCATGACTGAAACAAAATCCATTACTTGGTATATAATGGTAGATCCCAAACCTTAGAAATTCTAGAAAAACCACACCTATATACACACTCAAAATCTCTCACCCATTACTTCTTATTATTGTATAACAAACAAATAATACATCAGTAATAATACAAGAGAAACTCCATACATTATAGTGATTAAAATAAGATAAACATAAGAGGAAAAAAAGAGGCTAAAGGAAAAAAAAAGAATCCATATTATATTACAGTAATATAAAATTAATTCTATTCTTAAACTTATTGTTAAATCTACCCCACATAGAAATGTATTGTTTCATCTTCTCATTTTTTTAGAATATAAGGACATATCAAAAATTGATAAAGAACACACATCTTGAATCCTTTCTGTAACATCAGGAGTATAGATATCTTTCTATAAAATCATTTTCTTTGTTGAACCCCGGCTCAGTTAAGCCACCGTTTTTCATTATTTCTCCCTCATTACCATAAAGATCAGCAGAGGTTTGGAGATTTTCTCTGCTGAATATGGATATCTGGGGCAGGACAAAGGGGTGGAGGGTGGAGTGAAGTGTCATTACTTCTGTCATAACATAATTACATACGCTATATCATTCATGTCATCACACAATTAACACAAATTGCATCACTTTCATCATTTACACAATGACATAATGATGTGCCATGATATCACTTTTGCTTTTATCAGATGCCTATGCTAGTGAAAAAAGCAAAATTGTATGCTATCAGCTGTTTGTACATACACACATGCACACCCCTCTTCAACACCATTCATCAGTCCCTGCAAATACATGTAATCCTGAAATCAATGAGAATCCACCTCTTTTCACATCATAACTAGCTTTGTTTGTTTTTTAAAGATTATGAAGCTCTTGATTGTGACCCCATTGATTCTTAGCACTGTTCAGAACAGTTGCATTTATATTCACCCTAAAGCAGGAATAGATGGGTATCTACTTGTAATTACAAAAAGGTACACAGTTAATTTACGTGTTTTACTTCCCCACTTATCTTGCTTACAGGGTTTTAACCTGTTTTTTTGTCTCCAGCTTAACCAAAACCCAAAGTGAAGGTAAGAGTAGAGAGGCTAAGATTATTTTTTAAATAAACTAATGGATAGTTCATTTTTGACAAAAAAATTATTCACCGACCTTGTTCTTGGTCCTTTTTAGCTGAATCATGAGTAAACCAATCAAATGGCCTTACCAGTGATTCTTGCAGCACACAATCACATTAACAGTGTCAAAATTACCATCCTGGGAATAAAATCCCCCCCCCACTTCCTCCAGAAATTGCCTAATAGTCTATGAGCCCTTGTAACTGGAGAGCAATGACTAGGTTTCATTATGTCACTAACTTTTTTACCATTGACCAGGTAGATAGTAGTGGTTATATACTATCTACTTTAGCTCGTGAATGCTTAGGAAGTGCCTGGCCTTAGTAATGAGAGCCTTGCTTTCAACAGCTTTCTCTCCTGGATGATTAAGTACTGTAGATGAAACAATTCAGTTGACCAGGTCGTGGTATTCCCAGATGGCTAAGTGGCATTAGTTTAACTCTGTGGATGATTTGGTTTATTTGGGGTAAATTTAAACTACTGGAGGTTGATTTTCTGAACCAACCAACCACTTTTTGGTATTCCCATCACACACAATCCTTGCCTCCTACCCCATTGACCCAGTTGTGGGACAAAGCAACTGTGACTTTAATGATATAGAACTTACCTGAGAATAAGTCCTGTGGAACTGAGAAGAAGTTACTTCTTCATAGGAGTGCAGAACATTGTCATGTGAATAATCTTCATCAAAAGAATTTACTGACTGGTTCCCTGGGATAAGAGAACACAAATCTGTTGGAAACAGCATCATTTGATAAGAATTAAACATTTAGCCTATAGACTTATTCAATTAAAATAAATAGCTTGATTAGTTAAGTGTCTTAATTTTTTTCCCTTCAGCATTTGTTCCCTTCAGCGTCCCTTCTACTTTGTAGAATCTGTCTGGTATGCATTTTCTTTTCTGAAGTTTTCAAAGTTATCTCAATTCTTTCAAATTAGAATGATCAAAGATGAACACATTTTAGAAAGAGTCATAACATAGCAAAACAGTACTGTCACTTACTACATCCTAAAATAATGTGATTTAAATGTCACTTTATCAACCTGGAGCCCAGATTATGTCCTTAATTTCTCTTGGAGCTGCTATGAATAAGCCATTTCTTTAAATTTGTCACTGTGTATCTTTTTTCAGTATGTAATCAGAAGGAAGAAATTCATCCTCTTATAACCACCAGTGTAGTAAAAGATCACAATTTTATTGATTTGTTTGGGTTAATTGTATTTATTGTACTTACATTTATATTTCTATTTATTTTATGTCCTCATTATCCAAATCCAATGTGAAGATAAAAGGTCTTTTTTGAGGGAAAAGTTATTTCCACTGTACGTTTTACCATCTCTTCTCAGCAACATGTGTCTAAAATGCCAACATTCTTTGTCCCAGTGCATAATCTTCAGCAATCCAGAGATCCCATACATCCTCAAATAACTCTCTACTCTTTGATCTCTCATTTATCTGAAACATATTCTACACTGATTAGCTCTGCCCTATTCTTCTCCTTTCATCTACTGTTTCATTTTGAGGTACTCAATGTCATATTTTAGAATGTAAATTTCATGCCAACCACATATTTTATATAGTGCCATGTGCATTAATGGTAGCATATAAAAAGATTTTTTTTTTACTACCTTCTTTTTACTCTATTATAGCTAATCCAACATTATGCACTTAAAGCCAAGTGTAGCACAATTATATTATTAATGTAATATAATATAATGTTACATTATATTAATGTAAAAAAAATTGGACAGAGTATGCTTATTTTCTGGGATCTTTTGAAGGATAGTCCACATTTTTCTGAGCAATTTGCTTGCATTCCATTATGGTAAATTTCTTAATTATTCCTGTCTTGTTAGAAACAAGAAAGCAATCAATGACTGTTGATAATGCTGTACCTTCTCCCATTATCTATGCATGATTTCTTCACAGGATGACTATTATGTATCACAAAAAGCAGGAGGAACAAGATGGGCCATGACTTCCCCTTCTTTGCATGTG